CCCCCCCCCCCCCCCCCCCCCCCCCCCCCCCCCCCTGCCAGTCTCCCCACTCTGCTTGCCTGCTCATATCCCCTCTCTCCTCGGGAAGACCCAGGTTAGCTTGGTAGGAAGCTAGTCCAGTGCTCCTGGGTCAATCTCCTTCACTGGGGCTATGTTTAGACTCCTGCTGACCACAGACTCCCTTTGTTTTCCTAGCTTATCTGCATTCAAGGCAGGTCCAGGAAGATCTAGGCAGGTACTTTTCCATCCAAACGGGATCCCTCTGGCTTGATGACTAACTTGGCTCAAACCACCTTGTAAGGGCCTCTGCCCTTCTGAAGCCCCTGTTACCCAAGCTCTGGCGTACTTGAAGAGATGCTGGCCGGGGAGGCAGTAAAGACCTTCCCGCTGTCCTTGGTCATGATCAAGAGTTCCATCTCTTTCTTGGCGGGTACGTTGTCCTTCTCCAGAATCAGGAACTTGCAGTCTTTATGCAAGAGGTCGTCGCTCTGGACGCTGGTGGTGCAGGCTGTAGAGGGAAGACTGGGTCAGGACGAAGGGAAGGTGGCGGAGGAGAGGGAAGACATAGGCAGAAGAGGACTTGGGGAAGTTGAAGGGGAGGGGCTTCACCAGTGTGTTTGGGGGCTCCTCTTTTAGACAGTGGTGCTATGAAGCATCTTGGGGGTTCTGCCAGTAGGTCTGGCCACCATGGGGTTGGACCAATGATGGCAGTGCTGGGGACTGCTGTATGGAGCTATCTCCCCACCTGAAGACACAGTGCCTTCATTGACTTTGCTGAAGTCTCCTTCATCAGCCAGGCCCTTCATTAACTAACACAATAGATTAGTTTTACCATCCCGGGAGGCTTTTCCCGATCATCCCCCTAAAGCTCCGAACTCTCATACATGGACCCCACGTCTGCCACATCCCTGTTTGCTTAGGAATCAAGTCATTTTCTGTAACTGTCAGGCGTACTTTGTCTTTGTGCTTGTCATCTGCTTGCCCCACGGCATTGTCCTTATCTCACCATGACTTTATTCTGGCTTGTCCACCACAGGTAGAAAGCAAACTGCCTGTCTGATACTAAATGGGTGCATGGCAACTTTTTATTTTAGACGGACACAGCAGGATCCAGGCACTGGAGGAAGGAGTCCATTGTATGGGGTGAACCCACGTTGGTAGAGTCTGTGACAGCGGTGGGGGCACCAGCAGCTTTGGAGGGGCTCCAGCCTCTCAGTTCAGTGTTAGCAGGAGAAAGCCAAGAGCTGCCAGGTAAGTGTGATGGCTGGAGCGTAACAGCAGACAGGTGTGTGTGTGTGTGTGTGTGTGTGTGTGTGTGTGTGTGTGTTGGGTGGGGGTGCTTTCTGCTCCTGGGAGGAAAACCAAGTTAAGTTTAGAGCCTGCTCATCTTTATAAAAACATCCTGAGACCTTTGGGGTGAGTTGTGTTCATGGGTCTCAGCCCACCCACGGGGTCCAGCCTCTTTTCCAGGACACCATGTGTCATCCCAATGGGCCAGCTTGGTCCCTAGGAGCTGGCAATAGCACTCACTAGCAGAAGTGGACACACCGGTGCTGGTGACAGTGGGTGGCTGTGGCACGTTTTTCTTTACACTGTATGCTGCAAGAGAGAAAGGGGGTGGGATGGGTTAATTTCCTGGATCTTCTCCTAGTTCTTAAGCCACTTCCTTCAGGAAGTGCTTGTAAACCTCACTTGTCACTTAATTCCTGTTGTTTTACAGGGTTCTCTTATTGCTTCCTGTGGGTTAGATGTTCTTCTCCAACTAAGGAGTTGGCAAGTTGAATGCAGGGACTGAGCATCACCACGCCCCTTCCTCTGCTCTACCTACTAGGTCTGCACAGGCGCAATGGCCTGGGCGGTACACCATGAAATCAAACTCTTGAGATTTATTTGAAGTGGCAGTGGCCTGAGGAAGAGTGCATTGTGAGCTGGAGAGACCACTGCCCTGACCAGTGGGACATGGGAACGAGATGTCACAGGATGGACATGCTGGCTTTATAGGCTCCTTGTGTGTTTGATTCACAGCAGAGACAGTGAGGGATGAAGGTCAGCATCTCCAGGCTGGGGGCGGGGCCTGGGTTTTTGTGGGAAAGGCCTTTGGTCCTGTTAACTACGTGAAAGGGCCCGTTGTGAGTTGCAGAGTCTAAGTGGTGTCAATTCCCAGTTCCCGAGCTCCAAACGTAGGCTACCAACCTGTGGAAGTGGTGGTTGTGCCATGGGCTACGGCAGAAGAGCTGGGGGCCAGATTGTTCTGCATGCCAAACACTGCAAGAGAAATGGAGAACAGGCGGGAGCTGTGAGTGGGAGGGCACCCCCTGGATGCTGTGAGCTTCCTGGAGCCCCCCGGATCATTTTCCTGAAAACTGCTTTTGCTAGTGGCAGATGACAAAACTTTTTCTTGGTTTCCATGCTCTTAGTAAGGAGGTCATCTCCCACCAGAATAAACTTTGCTAGTGGCTGTTGCAGAGTAAGGGCCATGCGACTAAATAGCGGTAGCTCACACAGGGCTGACAAATACGACTGCCTCCCTTAAAAAATCAGAAACTATCATGTCCCTGTAGCTCTGCAGGACTAGTTGGTACACAGTGTGGGAACTGGATACGGATACACTGAGCTGAGAAACACTGACATGACAGGTTTTCCCCTTTCTTTTCAGATTTTTCTCCTAAGTGTAACTTCCCGGTACCCTGTCCCCTGTGCTGTGCGCCGTGCTCCCACCCCCCTCCTTGCTTTGAGACACGGTATGTTCTTCACACTATATGTGCTAATGAGAAAGCGCTAATGAGCTGGGCCAACATGGAAAGGCGGCTCCCATGGCTGGGGGCAGTCTAAGCAGCTGGGCACATGAAGTCAACTCTCTCTAGCAGTGTGTGGGGGGGAAGGGGCTTAATTTCCTGTGTTTTAGTTCTTTTTGTTTGTTTGTTTTGAGACAGGGTTTCTCTGTGGGTTTGGAGGCTGTCCTGGAACTAGCTCTTGTAGACCAGGCTGGTCTCAACTCATAGAGATCCGCCTGCCTCTGCCTCCCGAGTGGGCATGCACCACCACCGCCTGGCCACTGTCTTAGTTCTTAAGCGTACTTCCTTCAGGAAGACCTCTTGGACCTCACTCTTCACTTAATTCCTGTTGTTTCACAGGCACAGGGTCCTCTGATTGCTCCCTGTGGGATAGATGTGAGTGGGCAAGTTGAATGCAAGGGCTGAGCATCACCACGCCCCTTCCCCTGCTCTAACCCCAGGTCTGCACAGGCGCAGTAGCCTGGGCGGTACACCACAAAAGCAAGCTCTGAGATTTATTTGAAGCAGTTCATCTGAAGACCCCCTCTTGAGACAGCATATCTCTATATAGCCCTGTAACGCACTAGGCATATCAGTATGGTCTTGAACTCACATATTTACCCATCTCTGCCTCTGGAGGTCTGAGATTAAAGGTGTGCACTACCATACCCTGCTAAATCCTTTCCCCAATCTTGACTCCAAGGCTTGCAATTGTTGACATAACTGTCAACCTGACACAGCCTAGAATCACCTGGCAGGTTATCAGTGAGGGATCGTCTCCCTTGGGTTGGCCCGTGGACATGTCTGTGGGGGATTGCCTTGATTGCTTTAACTGGTGTGGCTCCCAGTGCCTATGTGGAAACTTCAGTTCCAGGTGATCCATACCATCTTCTCCGCCCCACCCCACCTCCTGCAGGCACTTTACACTCATGGTGAACAAACATTCATGCAGGCAAGACTCTTGTTCACACGAAAATAAAAATAAATAAATTATTTTCAAAATAGTATAAGAAGAGGTGCCGAGATGGTAGTACTGACCTGAGGAGCAGCTGCTGAGTCCAGGGGGCAGGGTGGGAGAGCAGGACGCCATGTTATTTGGCATTCCGAAGACTGCAGTGGGGAAAGAGAAGGCAGTTGACAGCAAGTCTCAAGGCAAGGCAAAAGCTCAGATGCTGTGGACATGCCAGAAGACATACTGGGATCTATCGACAATGTTCTATTATATTTTTGGTTTTAGAAAAAAAAAACCTTAATATTCAATTCTCTGTCTTTTCTGCAGAGAACCTGACATCAGCCTGTGGATCTAGCCAAAGGTGATCTTGGATGGCTAGACCTGGAGTAGACAAGTGGGTCCAGTTAAAGGCTCTCTTGTTAGTGGCCCCGTCTTATACAGTGGGATCTGAAAATTAATTGACTTGTTCAGAATTCCCACAATCAATTCACACCCATTGATACATGGTGTCCTAATCTATTTTTAGTGTTCTTTTCTGTTGTATTTCTTCTGATGCCTTGTCTTGCAGGTTAATTCCATTAAAAAAAATAGCTTCTACATTAAGAGGAAATGAAAAAAGTTCCAGTGAGAATTGCTTTGGACATCTGGGCAAACAAGCAAACAAAACAGTTCCCAGGAGGCCCCGGGGATGACACACACCCAAGAAGCTCTTCAACAGTAGAGCTGCCGCAGTCCCCATTCTAGGAGTGAGAAGCCAGGTGCAGCCCACACCTACCTGATCCTGCTGAGTAGGCGTTGGTGTTGAGGAGGGATGAGCTCTGGGTTGTCATGTTGTTGTGATAGGTCCCCATGGAGGACCCTGCAGGCAAGGTGGAGGACCACATGTGGGGGGGAAGGTTGGTGTCCAGTATTGTCGTGTCATAGGTTCCTGATACTGGAAAGCGAAACACACACATACCTCACGGTGAGAAAGACGGTCATGTCTGCCTGGGGAACTTGGTTGCTTGTCTCCTTGGAGCTTCCCTGAGTTTAGCACCAAGGGTCCCATATCCTAGGAACTCCCTCAGTTCAGGAAAGCCTGAGGCACTTAGCCATTCCATTTTTGACTGAAGTAATTATCTCTTAGATCACAAAATGATTGCCATTTCTTGGTGAAATACAGAAGTAATTTTACTGTAGTGTTCTCTTATTGTATCTTTCCCTAAGATTTTCTTTCTACATCTTGCTGGCCTCTCTCCACCAATGGGGACAACCTCTTACTGCTCTGTCATTTTTAAAGATGCCAAAGGGTAGTTCAGTTAGGAGCTGCTTCTAGTCACCTAGCAAATCGAATGAAAGAGTGGGGTGTGCACTGGATGAAGGAGTGGGGGCTGTAATAACTCCTTGGACACAGCAGTCTTCTTGGTTAGATCCTCACTAATTCATCTCTGAGAGTCAACCAGACCCCAAAGTACTCTGTCCTGACAGGGCTTTTCATGTTTCTTCCAATCTGATGCCATTTCTGCCAATTACTCTGTGAGAGGGACCAGGCTAGACAGCTGCTAACAAGCTTAGAGGCTTGGCTTTATAGGGAAGTCACACGAGGAAGGGCATGGCATCAAGACTTTCCAGAAACAGTAGGAAATCTTCATCCACAGAAGATGCGGCCTCTTCCCTCATCTCTGTCTGTGTCACTGATAACTTCTCTTCCTGTCACCTGAAGAGGTATTCCCCTCAAAGAAGACACACGCTCCACAAGGCTGTTGAGTACCACCCGTCCCCTGTGACTCAAGTCTCTTGGTTTCCTGTTTAATTCCCCCAGAGACCCTCTCCTCCACCAGGCCATTGACTATGCCTTTCTTGTCCAGAACTTTTTCTCAGGGCTTGACAGAGTAGGCATAGGACAAATATTTCATTCTCCATATTGAAAACACCAAACCCTCCCTCATTCTTCTCTCGGGGAACCCAGGCAACACATCCAACACTCAAAGAACCTGCTGGGGAGAATCTCAGGGGCTTAGAGCTGGGTACCACATCCTCAGAAGACAGCTGG